TTTCACAATAGGGGTTCCCTGCTAAGAAGGCTGTTCACATGAATGCGTATAAGTTGTCAAGTATCTGACACGGATGTACTTTCTCCGTATGTGTAGTGGGGTGGTCGCCGTTCGCATGTACGATAAGTATGGTGTCAAACACTGGTGGCGAATTGCGTGAAGTAGAAGTTTGTGACTTGAACATGGACACAGATGTGGAGGCGAGAAATGACGAGAGCACAACGGCCGTGTTGACAGCATGTAGGGCAGAGATCGAAAACCAACAGCGAAAGATCTCTAACCTCGCATTAGATCTTCATCACCATAAACAATTGTTGACTCAGTCCCGAGAAGAGCTCGAGCGTGTTAAACTACAGCTTGCTGACAAGTCGGCAGACGCGGAACAAAGAATGCGCAGTGTGAGGTGGCTGCAAAAAGTGTGGCATGACAATGTTGCGGAGAAAGAAAATTTGAAGAAGAGAGTGAAAGAGTTAGAAGACCTGTTAGATACGCGCAATCCAAGACGGTCTACAATAGTGCAGAGCCCTACATGGGACCTTATGTGCTGTACCGACAACGAAAAATGTGTTATAAGGGAAGGGTGGGCATCTTACAATAGCCAGGACGACGGAGTTGTCTCAGTCTGCGCCTCCGACGAAAGTATCTGCAACCTGTTGACATTGTCGCAGGACTGTATTTTTCATTGTTTGAAAATTACACGACATTATACCGCATGTGCACAAGTTGGGGCCGAGGACAAAGCAGGGGTGGGCAGAGATATTCCAACCAAAACTGATACTTTGGTTAACGCTTGTACGGATATCATAGATACATTACAATACACACGTGGAAGCATGAGTTTTGGAGATTTAGTAGTATTACGCAAGCGGGATAGGGTCATTTCCAATGTCGACATCGATGACGATCAGAAATTTAAGGTGCAAGATGGTGTGGCAGACATGTGATCATCGAATGAGCTACACACAATGCTTACATGCAAGGATGTTATGTGTCTCCAATCATTCCGTGTTCGACAAAATTATCCGTGTGTTTTTGCTAACACTGCGCCGTCATTGACCGAATGATTGTGTAATGTTCTACTAACGACCGACAATTTTGACGATTTCATCGCGACAGTTAACAAACGTCAATTGTTGCGGTTCGTCGTGGATTGTGTGTCCCACCTGCTATCTATACTGAAAGAGAAGATGTCTGTTGTTCAAGGCAAATATAGTCAGACTGCCGAGGCCACAAAATGCGAATATTGTTGCAGAGTCAGCCGCGTGTCGGCTCGCTTGCACACTCTCCAGAACATATATAAATTTGTATGTGCCCGCCTCCTAAGAGAAGCGTAACCTCTCTCTTTCTCTCTCTCTCTCTCTCTCTCTCTCTCTCTCTCTCTCTCTCTCTCTCTCTCTCTCTCTCTCTCTCTCT